TTTTTTTTTTTTTGCAGATAGTGAGTTTTTATTGAGAATCTGATGCATTTTTAAAAGTCTCTGAGCCGAGTGTTTTCTTTAATCATTCCACAGGCTGCTCTCTAATATGTGGTCTCCTCTGCCTTCTGAAGGGTTTCCGTTCACGCTGTTCTTCAAAGGTAACATGGGGTGTATATTACTGCCGAGGGGCAGGCTGTAAGGAGTGGTCCAGGGCAGCAGCAGGGTCACCCTGGGTGACAGCGAGTGTGGCTTGCTCGGGCAGTAGGCTGGGATCTGTCAGGATGGCCGTGGTGGTACTCAAGAGACGGAGTGAACTCAGAACCACTGAAGAGAACATGTGAGGAAAGTACAAAAACAAGTTAACTATTCTTGCTATCATGCTGGCTGTAAGTGTGGGCAGTTGAGATTTGCAGGTATATGTGACTCACTGGGTCTTAGAGCAGGCAGTGAACAGTGCTGATCCATCCAGGTCAGAGTGGATCGACAAAGGTCCTCCACACTGGCAGTTGACACCATTCCATTATATGACTCAAACAGCGGCTCCATGATGATACTGAACTGACACCAAGTGAAGGAAAGATGTAGTGATAAAAGGATAAACTTGGCTTTATTTTATATCTTGCTTAATATATGCATTTTTTTTTTTGCTTCAACTGGTTTCCCCAGTTTAAATATGTCAGACATTCTTTAAAAATCTCATAACACATGTCAACAATAAGTGGACATGCGAGTGTATGAAACACAAAATAAACCACAGTGCCCACCTTTACTGTGCTAAAGGGACATGTCACTGAGAACAGCACTGCATTAATAAAGTGTTTTTAATGGTTTAATTAATACTACTACTATCAAAAGACCATTCATTTTCATCTGCAGCATATGAAGCAAAAGTGGGCAGACTTCATCAGCTAAGAGACACCCAAATTGAAAATAACTTTGCTTTTTCTAAACTATATACCACACTAAACTAAACTACAAGTTAAACTACAGCTATATTGTTAAATATGAAATGTGTAACAAGCCCAGGCCTGGAAATGTACTGTACCAAAGTGTATTTATTGAACATTATTTGGATTCTCACCAATGGTGTTTTGAAACAATGTGAAATATAGGAATTTCCCACAGGAATAGAGTGGAACATTTACTCAGCCTCCAATTATACTGCTGTCATTTGTTTTGTCTAACCTTTTTTAAGTTTGTGGCATTTTATTGTTCCAATGAACATTTCACACATTTACATGCATAAGGATACGATCCAGAACTTCCAGTTTTGCAGAGTCTGTGTGCGGACATACTCCCTGAACTTCTCCCTCATGTGGTCAAAGCGCTGGCGTGTGATGGGGACACCGGTGGCTGGTAGCTGCTGCTGGCACGTACTGCACCAAGAAATAAACCAAGTCAACAAAGCAGTCCAGAGCATCTTCATGTCAGCAGGGTAAGATTGGATTGTTGAAAACTGCAATGTCATGGCAAATTTCTTTTTTTTTTAAAATAATTTGCCATGCAATGTCATGGCAATTTTTTTTTTTTTAATAATTTCTTTGAGTTTTTTCCAGGGATGAATGATTTACAGAATACATCCTTAATGACTTCCAAAAAATACCAAACAAACAAAAAAACCAACCCAAAAAAAAAAAAAAAAAAAAATTTTCTGAACCACAAATAGGCAAATTATACATTCAGACTGAAATATATACACACACAACCTAAACAATTTGATTAAATGTCCCTTAGCAAGCTGCACCTTGACCAGATGTCTTTGGTAACCCTTAACAACCATCTAGCATAACTGTGGCTATATATTTGACAACTCTTCTTGGCAGACTCGGTAGCATGCATTTAAACTGGTTTCCTGACACTCACCGGGTTTTAAAGCATAGTCCACAAATTAGAACAGTGGTGACACACCTGAATACTGAAACTTGTGAATTACATACAGTTGTCTGAAGTGCTGATCTTGGAATCTGCAAATGTTTGTTAATGACTCCAAGAGCTTTTCCCAACTTGTGTAAACCTGCAGTTCACCTTTGATTTTGAGTTGCTTTGACTTTAGATACACCCATTGTTCTGAGTATTGGTTAATCCAATGAGTTCTGTAAAATAAGTTTTTTTATATGCTGGCAAGGACAGGAAGGAGGAAACTACCAGTTGTAGTCCATCATGATCACTAATGAGAAGTTAATATACCTTGGCCTTGACCTTTTAAAAGATACAAGTGAGTGTATGTATATATTTGAGCCTGAATGTATAATTTGACTATTTGTGGATCAGCGAAAATCCTGAACAAATTCAAACTTTTTGAAATTATTAAACATGCATGCTGGGAAATCTTTCTACCCTGGCAAAGGAACAGCTCAAAGAAATCATTAAAAGTATATGCAAACAGTGTTGGGAATACAAGGAATACAACGGAATACATGTACCAGCGTAACATATTTAAAATACAAAATATGAGTAACTGTATTCCGTTAAAGTTACCGTTTAAAAAGGTGGTATTTAGAATACAGTTTCTTTGTTGAAATAAATGGATTACATGGTGGTCTTTTCCTGTTTTATATGTAAGGCTATGCCCTCTCTACTTTTGGTAATTCCAGGCCAGTGGAAACCCAAACAAAGCACAGATTAAGAGGCTCTAATGCCTGTGTCTCATTCTCACGGCCCATGTCATCCTTACTTGTGGCCCCTAAATATTTACAGGCATAGCCCTAAAGAATGTAGGCTCATGGGCAGTGTAGTTCGTGCTGCAGGGAGAATGGACTGCCATACACGTTATGTGTCTGTACGAGGTGTTACTGACCAGAAACAGGAGATGGAAGCATGTAAATATAATAAGAACCACTACAACCAAAAGAGTGCCTGACCAGCCCACTTGTAAGTAAGCTATTAAGACTCGACAGTACACTGTGTTCGTGTTTTACTCCGAAACAGTAAGTTCCATTGGAGCAGCCTTTCAACGCCTCTCTCTGTCTCTCGCTAGCAAAGTTGACCCAGACAACAAAGTAAAGCTAGTTTTCAGTTACGAGCCCGACACGGAACCCGACGTATTAGCTAGAGGTCCCTTTACTATGTTTCGGAGCTGCGGACCTGTTTTATATATGCGCGGAATAGTTTTCTACACAAGATTGCTGCAAAAAGTGCAGCCTTACCTAATGTCCGCCCTACTGTTACTCGTTTTATATTAAGATTTAAAAATCTAATTGGAATTGGTATGGCGAGTAACCTTCAGTAATAGTAATCAGTGTTGGGAAGGTTACTTTTAAAATGTATTCCATTACAGAATACAGAATACATGCCCCAAAATGTATTCTGTAACGTATTCCGTTACGTTACTCAATGACAGTAACGTATTCTGAATACTTTGGATTACTTAATATATTATCATGCTTTTTACAACAACGTGAATGTACTATTGCTGTGTGTCTGTGAAGGTTCTCAGAAAGGGTGATGGGAGTCAAAGAGGAGGTACTCACACACACGGACCAGTACCTCCTCTTTGACTCCCATCTCCCTTTGGAACACAAACTTGGGGTAATTAGGACCCTACACCACCGGGCAGAACATGTTCCCTCTAAGCCTGAAGGAAAAAAGAAGGAACACACACATGTAAAGGAAGCACTCAAAACGTGCGGCTATCCTAAATGGGCGTTCTTAAAGTCAGCAAAGAGGCACAGAAAAGAAAACCAGACACCAGCGAGGGAGGATAAGAAGGACAGACGCAACAACATTGTCATCCCCTATGTAGCCGGTGTATCAGAAAAACACAGGAGAGTTTTCTCCAAGCATGACATGGGCATTTCAGACCCAGCAACACGCTCAGACAAAAACTGGTTAACAATGTGGTGTATGCTGTACAGTGCAGCGAGGAATGCTCAGACCTCTACATTGGAGAGACCAAACAGCCACTTCACAAGCGCATGGCACAACACAGAAGAGCCACCTCCACAGGACAAGACTCAGCAGTCCATCTGCATCTTAAGGATAAAGGACACTCTTTCGAGGATGCCAATGTTTACATTTTGGACAGAGAGGACAGATGGTTTGAAAGAGGAGTGAAAGAAGCCATCTATGTCCACTGTGAGCGACCATCTTTGAACAGAGGCAGGGGTTTACGACACCAACTCTCTGCCATCTATAATCCAGTTTTGAGATCCCTTCCCAGACGCCTTAACGCCCACTCACATCCTGGGCCATCTGACCTCAGGAATTCGCATGATAAGGTGGGGCCAGGTTTCACAATGAACACACCCGAAACTCTGGCTGATTGGGACTCACGTCCAGTTTCCCACCTTGGCTCAGGCGATTAGAGGATCATCAGGGGGTCCTTTTGTCCCTCTGTGGGGGGCCTCTCCCACTAGGTTTATATCTGGGACTCTCCACCATTTGACCTTAGAACTGAAGAAGCTTTTCGGATGAGAGGTGAAACGTCTTCAAGCAATTTAAAGAAGTCCAGACGCTTTTCTTTGCAAGCTCCTTTGACCACTATTGCTGTGTTATTTATTACTATTACTGAAGGTCCGCGACTCCGAACTGTAGTAAAGGGACCTCTGACTAATACGGCGGGGTCCCTGTCGGCTCGTAGCCAAAAAATAGCTTTACTTTGTTGTGTGGGTCAACTTTTCTTGCAAGAGACAGAGAGAGGCGTTGAAAGACTGCTCCAACTGAACTTATTGTTTTCGGAGGAAAACACGAACACGGTGTACAGTCGAGTCTTAATAGCTTACTTACAACTGGGCTCGTCAGGCACTCTTCTTGGCTGAAGTGGTTATTATTATATTTACATGCTTCCAGCTCCCGTTTTTCCTCGATGACAACTCGTACCTTTCCACTCCCCTTTTTCTCCCTCCTCGCGCTCACAGACCCATAACGTGTATGGCAGTCCATTCTCCCTGCAACACGGACTACACTCCCCATGATGCTACATTCTTTAGAGCTATGCTTGTAGCATTCTGCCTGTTAGCTTAGCACAACAACAACGAAAAGGTGCTCTCTCACCCAGGAAACACACAGCTGCAGAGAGAGAGAGAGCGTCGCCCTGTAACCATGGCAACCGTAACGCTGCTGCCTGGAACAACAGAACGTAGCTGTCAAACAAAACCCAAACAGTCCTGACCCGCTACAATATGAAACAGGAAAGTACCGCAGTGTAACCCATTTATTTGAACAAATTAACTGTATTCTGAATACCACCCTTTTAAACGGTAACTGTAACGGAATACAGTTACTCATATTTTGTATTTTAAATACGTAACAGCGGTACATGTATTCCGTTACTCCCCAACACTGATAGTAATAAATCACACAGCAATATTCATGTAGTTATAAAAAGCATGATAATATATTAAGTACTCATAAGTACTCAGAATACGTTACTCTCGTTGAGTAACATAACGGAATACATGCCCCAAAATACATTTTGGGGCATGTATTCTGTAATCTGTAGTGGAATACATTTTAAAAGTAACCTTCCCAACACTGCATACACCTACATGCCTGCTCACATATGCACAGGCAGAGGTTGAGCTTAGCTAAAGGTCTCACTTGATGGCAGTGTTCAGGAGCTGAATCTCCTCTTTCAGTTTCTGAGCTTCCTCATGCAGCTGAGCTCTCTCCTGCTGCATCTTAGTGATGTACTCGGCGGTCTTCTGCAGTGTGGTGGCTTTGCTGATCTGCACACAGCAGAGAGAGGGATTACCATACATTAATCATATACAAAAATTATTCACCATTATGAATAATTATTTAAATCGACAAGCTCAAATCTGGTTGCACTGTTAATGCTAAGACTTAGCATTTGCATGTTACATATTACAATCTGCCTCCAACTTTCAGCATATCCATCTAAAATGCAGCAGCACACGTTTTCACAGTACCTTTATGCTTGGCTGAGAGCTGAGTGTTGTCACGAGGTTATGTAAAGTGTCAAATCCCAGTTTGATGTTGAAACGCCTCTTCTGCTCTGCTGAGATGTGAGTTATCCTCCTGGTGTCTGTTTGCTGCGCACAGCAGAGCTCAGAAATATATTTGTCACACTTCACACACATTCACATACTGAGATAACAATAAGACTCCCATGTTCTCACTCATCACTTAACAAGGACTTGATTATATTTATATGTATAAAAAAGAATATATCCAGGATGTCCTACCTTACTTGATTCTAGCTTTCCATATCCTGAGAACCCTGAGTGTGGAGACTCTGGGTTGGAGGCTTTGTCTAGAGGGTTTGGTGGTGATGTTTGTCCTTGATGTGTTGGAAAATTAACTAGAGAAAAAATAAATAACATACATGACATTTATGTATTATATTTGTTGGAAATCAGATGCACCTATGTGCGTCAAACCCTGCAGTAATGAGTTTTTAATCCATTAAATCAGCTAGACATGTTGTGGCTGTGGATGCTGGCATTTAATTAAGGCTTCAGCAGTACAGTTTTAGTCAGGACCAGTACGCTCAAAAGAAGATTGATATTTTTATCTGCAGTTATTATCTTTGGTATAATGGCATTCAATGTGCCACTCAATATTCATAACAGGAAAGGTGAAGGTGAGGAGAGCGGTAAAGGAGGAGCTTGGGTTGGGGGTGGGTTGCTAAGTGGCTTGTAGCAGCCCAGCCCCCAACTGTGCAGAGGCCAAAAACTATTAAACTGATACACTGTTACACTATATGATACTTTTTATCATGATAGGTTTTTGAATAGGCTGTGTAATAAATTTGGGTCACCAAAACTGACAAAATGTCCATCAACCATAAATAGATATAATTGTTAAATAGTGAGGGTGCACTGTAAACGGACTTGGGATGGCTGAAAAGAACATTCTTTATTGAATGATGAGTTTAGATTTGAGACTCCACAGAAGTCTGATAACAAAGCAACACTTTGCAAATTAAGATTGACCATTTAGATTTAGTTTCTCTTTTTGGTCATGAGCTGCAGATTAATAAATAATTAAAATAACATTTACTCTGCAGTGCTCAAGCAGGAAAACTGATTTTCAAAATAACTTTGGTTCTAAAAGAATAAACTCATTTATCAGCTGCTCATTAGTTTCTGCAAGTGAATCTCTTATTCGTTAGTTGTCAGCTCCTGTCACAGCACAACAAATATTTATATTTTGAAGCAGTCAGATTGTGCTCTGTGACTTTTAATGTTTACAGTAACATTCTTTAACAGCTGCTTGTGTATTCAATGTTAAAATGACACCACTTTCTTGTTCACATACCGCTTCTTCTTTGCACATCAGAGCTTTAAGGTTTCAGGAAGTGTTCCTGACCACATTCACGTTTTTAATGCAGTGCCGCCTGAGCCTGAAGATCACAGGCATCCAGTATTTATTATCAGTGCTGCCCCTTAAACACAGAGATTTCTCCATTCTCAGACTCTTTTGATGATATTATGTAATGTACCAGTAGTCAAGAGACAGTCAAGGTCTTCATACTTCTTTTATGCTGATGAACATTACTTTAATATTGGCCCATAATTTAATTCAATTCAATTCAATTTTATTTATATAGCGCCAAATCACAACAAAAGTCGCCTCAAGGAGCTTCATAGATACAGAGAAAAACCCAACAATCATATGACCCCCTATGAGCAAGCACTTTGGCGACAGTGGGAAGGAAAAACTCCCTTTTA